CCCTGCTTCTATCTATGGATTTATATATAGTGTATAAACAGAGCGAGCCCTGCTTCTATCTATCTATCTATGGATTTATATAGTGTATAAACAGAGCGAGCCCTGCTTCTATCCATGGATTTATATAGTGTATAAACAGAGCGAGCCCTGCTTCTATCTATCTATGGATTTATATAGTGTATAAACAGAGTGTGCCCTGCTTCTATCTATGGATTTATATAGTGTATAAACAGAGCGAGCCCTGCTTCTATCTATCTATGGATTTATATATTGTATAAACAGAGTGAGCCCTGCTTCTATCTATGGATTTATATAGTGTATAAACAGAGCGAGACCTGCTTCTATCTATGGATTTATATAGTTACATTTAAAAATTTATTTAAACATAAAACCATTTTATTCACAAGCTCCAGTATTTACGTGATTCCCCATGCAAGGGGTTTCCTTACTGAGTTTGTACAGGGGTTGTACAGTAGAGGACTACATGGGGAACTGAATATACAGGACATTTCTCCCACCATGCACTGCTGTCCGAGAGGGATACTCCCACAAGAATATCCTGTTAAGTGGATTATCCCTCCGTACAGCAGAACCGGCTTTTCACACAAAAATATGTAACTTATACTTTATTCATGCCATTGTACCGAATCGTTCGGCAGATAGCTGGGGTCTGAGCGCACACTTTGGGAAAGTAACGCTCAGATCCCAGCATAAATAATCGAATGCCGCACGAAATACATTTTACCACCAACTTTTCAGAAAGTCACGAATACATAGGTTGCAAGAAAGTACCGAAAGACCGGCGCTCCCGAACGGCTTTGAAGTCCAGCGGTGTTCGTGCCATCGAGTAGCCGATTTTAGTTCCAGGCACTCGACGACCAAACACCGCTGTGCTAAAAGGAAATCCAAGATGGCCGCTGCCGCGTGTTCGGTAGCCGAACGACAGCCACCCGGGAAATCAATAAGCAGCCGATTGATACAATGTTGCAACTGGTTAATGGGAGCCACACGACCCCCTGTGTGTGGGCTTCCATTCGGTACTTTGTTCGTTTCACGTACAGTGTGGAAAGTCACTGTTCGTGAAACTACCATATGAATGCTTTCGGCTGTTAGCATACGAATGCTCTTTATTAAAGGTATAGTCGAATACATAAACTAACAGAATTGGACCAGCTTTTCTAGGACAACCTGTAGACCTATAATAACATAATCTGACGTGGCTAGGTTTGCCACAACACTGTTTAGTGGGTAAAAGCTTGTCCATAGATTAAAGGACACAGAGAGAAGCCAGAGCCACAAACGCAGAGTTTACTTCAAACTATTTCATTCTTTCCCTCTATGGCGCTAACTTTAAATCAGCCGATAATATTTCAATACAGAATAGGTGCCCTTAGAATGTTCTAACTGATTGCTTACAAGCGCTATTTGGGGAGATATTCTTTTAATCGAGATTGTTTCCTTGCTATTATTACCATTGAGTATAGGTAGATGTTAGAGCTTTAGCAATAGTGTAAATAGCAGCCCAATCGTATCAAGCTGCAAATACTTTTACTTTGCTACACTTGCTCTTCTTGACACTATTGTTATTGCAGACTCGGTTTTTGTTTATCTGGCATTCTGACTAACATCACTAGATCACGGATATTTTTCTGCCTCCATTTATACTTATTGATCTCTAATTCGATTATCAATTGGTTGATAATTATGTATATACTATCTGTTTCTTTTTTCTTTCTCACTTTTCCTTTCTATTAAAATGATTATATTAGGTTCATTCTTATTTGGGTTACTTTGTGACAAAATGTTTTTTTCAACTACGTGGCGAACTTGCCCTCGCCATGACCTCCTGGAGGAGCCTGCTAGTTAATCGCCTGCCCCAGGATTATGGACCTAGCTAAAAGACTACTAAAAGACTTGGTTTGTGAGATTCCCTGGGACTGTTCGGGAACCGAACCAACCCACAAACTGCGGACCATCTCTGAGATTATTGACCCTTGTTAACCTGTCCTGACACTTCAATCATTGTGGGTTCTAATAGTGTGGCTAGGTGGCCGCCATTCGTATGCACAAATGCGTGGGAACTCTTTTGGCGGCTATCTTGTTTGCAGATAGCAGTGTTTGGACATCGATTGCATGGAACTAAAATCGGACACTGGAACTCCCGAACACCGCTGAACTTTGACGAAAGCCTACTCCTTTTCCACACATGTCAGGAGAGCTCCGTTTGGTAGGTTTGTTCGTATAAACCATACGAACAAATGCTACCATTAAAGCCAGAGTGTGACCGTTGACCGGCTACTACCACTGAATGGAACTGTTTTGGGCAGGCGCCTTGTGTGCGGTCGGTCAGAACTTTACCCCGGTGGTGTTTCAGCTGTGTTTGTGGGATCTGAGCAGTTTTTGGATATGTTGGGCGTTCTGATCCAGGCTCTCCCGGGATGCATAGACTGTGGGGGTTCCTATGTGGGAAATGTATATTTTTATGTGTTTTCTTATTTTGTATTGTTTTGCTAAGTCATGGTGACACTGTAATTCATGGGCATATTGTGGGTGTGTTTACTGTACCAGATTCTGTATAAACGCGAGCCATTTGCCTGGGAATAAACAAATCATCTTCGCCCTTCACTCAGTCTAGACCAGTGTTTGGGTGATACCGCGGTTACCCTTCGGCAGTTAACTATAATCACTACTCAATGGCTATATTCACTCTGGAAGACCACAGGTGGTATTAACCCATCTTCAGGAGGGTATACCGCCACAAACTAATATATTAAATGTTATGTTTTAGAGATTATTATTTCATAGAGCAAGTTCCTCTCCATAATATGCTAAATAAAAGCATAGCTGCAAGTGGAAACATAACTCACTGAAAAGATCTATTTTGTTGCATTAATATAATAATCAGCCAACGATAAATAAAGCAAGTTTCCTGTAAATAAAAATTCCTCAATGTGAATGGTTTAGGATCAGACAGTTCATATAACAATGAGACTAACCTCTCGCTCCACTTTTTAGGCTGAGACTCGTGAAGATGAGAGAGGCCGATATTGCGCTGGGACAAGCAGGTGAGACACTGTGACTGGTATTACATCCAATACCCTCCAGATGTTGTAGACTATAACTCTTATAAAGCTTTTACAGCCATAATGCTGGCAAAACATTGGGGAGTTGTAGTCCACAACATCTGGAGTGCTGAAGGTTCCCCTACCTGTCCTCCCATTCCTATTATTTGTATTTATTTCATGGTATAACTTACTATTTGCAAAATAATGTTGATGAAGAAAAACTAAGCAAAACAACTAATATAAATATATTAAGTGGAGAAAGCTCCATGCGTAGTCCACTCTTTCTCCACTTCTCTTATGGACAGGCAAAGGGTTGACTATTACCAAGTGGCTTCCTCCTTCACCTCGTACGAGTCAAGGTTCCGTAAGAAGACCCTCTACTTCATGCACGGACAGGACTAGTTGGTCGAGCTCTTTTTCCAAATCATGCTCAGAGACAAGAGGATTGAGGCTCTGCAAATTGCCCCTTCCTCTTCCTTTAAGGAGCTCAGACCAACTTTGTTTATAAAGGAACGAAGAAGGTTTCTTTTTCATTTTCCTTCTATTAAATTACCTTGCACTGGAGCTTGGTGTAAAACATTGAATTGGAAATAGATCTTAATTATTAATTTTTAATTTGTTATCATTATTTTTTAATATCACATATTTCAGGGGTTGAATAGATTCTATTGATAATTCTATTGATTAGCCCACTGCTATCTCACCAGCCCTCTAAGTCAGAGAATGAATGTAACACTCTCTCTGTGCTCGCAAATGAATGAATGTAATACTCACTCTGTATTAGTAATGATGTTATTCTGTATTAGTTAATAAATATGATACATGCTTCATCAGTGAATGAATGCTCAGCGAGGGTGAATGAGTAAAATATTCTGCATCGGTGAATGAATTATTTCCATGTGTTGTAAATGAATGTGACTAGCACAATTTGTATGGGGGCCTAAATACAACTCGTCCTCTGTGTTGTTGAGATAGTAATGTTTGCTCTGTATCCATGAATCATGTTCCTGTGTTGTAGTTCTTATTACGAAGACATCATTAGTTACCCATGTTGCATTTTTACCCACAGGTGATGAGACATATTTAGATATTTTTCGGGATTTCTCTCTCATGGCATCTGATGCACCAGAAAAACTATCCCGTCGAAGCGGTGACCTCCATCTTTACACCCTATGAGATACCTCACAACCCCGGTGGCAGCATCGGTTTTTAAAAACAGCTCTTTGTCCAGGTTGTGAAGTACCATTAGTCTTCAAGGGAGAACTATGTAAAGTACTGAATGTAAGCTTGTTAATAACAAGTACATTAAAAGTAGAGCTACCATATGTATGGGCACATTGAAGACAATTTTGATTTTAAAATAAAATTACTTTCCTTCACTTAACATATTTTATTAATCATTAATATTATGCAGTCAAAGAGCATTGAATCAAACCATGGTTATGTATTTCAATAGATGTGTCTGTCTGTGAAAATATTGTCATAATTGTCCTGTTCTTTAGAAGGCAGGTACTATCATTTGGAGTAAGGTTGTCGTGTGTCCAGCTCTTAGATTGCTCAGTAGAAGGACTTGGCAGCAGATCCTTAATTGTTCTGTTCATAGCGTGGTCAGTAGAATCTCTTCGGGTCATGTTCTTGTCTGTCCTGCTCATCGTCTCTATTGTAGAATCAGGTGGGTTTAGATCTTTCTCCATGCTGCTCATAGTAATCACTATACCATCAGAAGAAAGATCCTTCTCCGTCTTGCTTATGGTACGCTCGGTACAGTCAGGTGAGTTACAGTCTTTGCTAGTCGTAGTTATGGCCTGTTTGGTACAGTCAGGGGAGTACTG